ATTTTAAATAAATTGTGTTGTTAAATAACGGTTGGAGAGATTTGCCGTGACAGCGTGTCCCACCTGTCGCAGGGCGAGAGGCAGGGTATACTTGGACAGGCCACCAGTCTGTCAGAGGGTTAACTCACAGAGACACAGAAAGCTAAGACTCAAACCCAAGACCTTCTTGCTGTGAGGTCACCGTGTTAACCACCGTTGTGCAGTTAGGAGGGAATAAACTTTAGTTATGTGCTAAAATGGTTCAAAACATGCATGGAAATAATCCACAGAAAGATTATTGTGCTTACTTGGCAGGTTTTATTTTTGAGACCTTAGTTCAAAATCGCAAACATGGTTGATGAAGGTTATAATTACATTTTTAACTCATAATGCCCAGACAGTCTTCTTGATATTTTTGGATGGAGTTTAAATTATTCAGTGAAGCGCCTAAAAGACTGGACAGCAGGACTGGCAGCACCCCAATCCCCAGGCTTGCGGTATTCTCCCTTCTCCAAGAAGTACTGACGTCCACGGTAGTTGGAGTGCTCGTAGAAAACCCACCAACCATCGTAGACCTTACAGGAGTTGACCTCCCTCCAGCGGAACTTTTCCAGAAGTGAGGGGCAGTCCTCTGTGGCCTCCAGGGCCTGGCCGCCAAAGTCTGCCTTCTCATAAAGCTGCATCTTGTACTGGGTCCCACTGGTCTGGAAAGTGAGGGAGGGAGAAAGGAGGTGAAGATGGAGGTTAGTGCAGGGAAAAGAAAGGGAAAGGGAGGATACAATGAGATTAGAATTAGAATCTAATTGGAAAATTCGTACACTACATGTACACCTAGTTTGAAGTTTGTCAGATACAGTGTGGCAGTTTAGAGAAAAGCTAATCCAAATTATTGATTATTTTTAAAATTGTAGTTCATTAGTTTCATTTGTCTTTGCTTGTGTTTAATGATGCTGTCACCTCTCAGCCGGTCACAGCACATGGCTGTCTCTCCCTAAGCCTGAGGTCTCTTTCTATTGGAAGCACGTTTCTTTTCCCCACAGTCGCCACGTGCTGCTCATAGTGGGATCATCTGACTCTTGGGGTTCACTTTAATATAAAGTTAGTTTATTGTCTTGCTAGCTGCAAGTAAAATAACAAACAAGTATCTGAGTGTATAATTTGCCTCTCGATGATCATGGTAAACTAGTCTGTTGAAGGACTGTATACTCGGTATATTTGCCATAATCAGTGAGATACCTTACATTAATCAATCCTTCATTGTTTGCAGTGTGCTCACTGTTTTGTGCCTTTATAAATAGAACCAAACTGTACACACGCATTTACTAACTGCATTGATTTAAAGAGGCTGCAGGCTGTGGGTCAGCTGGACCAAAGCCTGCTCATACAAAGAGACTGATGTCACGCTGGTCACCATCGACACAGCACTGCGGTAGCATGAACATGACTGGATGTCATCTCTCACATAGTAAATGCTTTTTTGGGATGCCCTGAGCCCGCTGTGCCTTCAGTCTTTTAAGATATTCAAAAATTAGACTCCACACCTGCGGAGAACATTGTGAAGACTTCAGCTCTTTGTCATTGAGCGTGCAGTCTGTGCTCACAGTGCACAGTCAATAACAAATGACAGACAGGCTAAAAAAATGTGCACCTGCAGCAGAGCAGCATGCAGGCAACGCCTGACTTACAAAGTGGATCATCTTGCAGGAACTGAGGTGGTCGTTCAGTCCCATCCAGCGCTGATACTCTGGGTACTCCCCCCTGCTCAAGACATACTGGTAGCCCATGTAGTTTGGTCTCTCGTACACCACCCAGGCTCCACTCTCCACCCGGATGGAGTTGCAGCGGCTCAGGTAGGTGTGAAAATCTGAGCAGTCACTGTCGCACTCATAGCGACGGCCCTGGAAGTTCTTGTCCTCATAGAAGACGATCTGAGGGGGGAACGCATAACAGTCTCTTTGCTCGTCCACCTTTCACATTTGCTCTGTTAGGCAGTCTAAAGCCTGGTCCCTGTCTGAAAGCTCAGACATTTTAAAGCAAAGCCACTGTTAACAGCTGCTCAAACAAGCAGTGAGGCTTTAATTTACAACAGAGTATAAGGAAACAACATCTGCAGCAAACCTCTGTACTCTCCCACATGCACTTTTGAACCCGCACATTAAAACTAAACTCTTTGCATTGACTCACCCTGCCCATCTTGGATATATTGTGTGGGATAGCCTTGGTGATGATGAGTGATGGTGATGCTTCCCCCTGAGGTCTTGATGTTGCACTGGCCTTTGAGCAAGTGCCTTTTATATGCCCGCTTTCCCACATTTATAAACAGCAACAGTGGAGGCAAAAGGGGAACAATCGCTTTGTCATGAAAATGAGATCCAAAAATTGAGTCAGTGATTCTAGTGCTATTCAGTTTTTCCAGAAAAGCGAGGAAGGATTACGGCATAATGGCCAGGCGTGGGTAAGCGTCCATTGACCCCACTACTCTACTGGCTGGGTCCAGTGCCCACCGTTACACATGCCAGCTCCACCAGCTTGCTCCCACCTGGCAAGGACCTGCCAACTCATGACTTATTTCTTTTTTGGATGGATCCACATGAAGCAGTGGTGAAAGTATTCACATCTAATAAGTAAAAATGGGAAACACAAACGGAGTGACCTCACTTCAAAATTTCAGTCTGAAAGTGCTGAAATAACAAAAATAAGGAGAAAAAGTGAGTGGTGTTGTAGATGTGAGTATGGAACAAGTACTTAATGTACAATGTAGCGCTGGTTATAATATGCATGTGACTTTTAATGAAATGTTTACAATTATATACTTTTGCTCTTGATGCTACTTATTTTCTTTAACATTACTCATAATATGTGATTTACTTTTGCAGTATTGTGTTTCTTATGCATCCTATTTTCCAGGATTTTTTAATCAATCCAATAATTTGGACTAAAGTGGATTTGTAAACAATTTAAAAGGTTGGGGTGCCGCATAAATATGAACCCATATTTTATTCATAATAGAACAGAGAAAACATAACAAATGTTTAAACTGATCTCATTTGGAGTTTGATAGATGAGGGCAATGAAAGGCTTTAAAAGTAAGCACTACTAAAAGGAAACAGCTGGAGAAACATTTTACAGCTAATTTGGCTAATTGGCAACAGAAATAAAAAAGAGCATGTTAGAGAAGCAGAGGTTCTCTGAAGTAAACACAAACAATTTCAGAATCATGCTCCTCGGTCTAAAATTGTAAGGACTTTGGAAAAACTGGCATGAGCTCAGGAACACTTGCAGAAATCACTGTCTGTGAACACAGTTCACTGCGCCAAATACAGGTCAAAGAAGCCATACGTGAAAAAATGATCCTGAAACAACACCATCGTCTCTGGGCCAAAGCTCCTTTCAAACGGACCGAGGCAAAGTGCAAACTGTTCTGCGGTCAGAGAAATCCAAATCTGAAATTCTTTTTGGAAAGCTCAGATGTCACGTCCTCCGGGCAAAATATAAGAGGCACCACCCAGCTTGTTATCAGCACTCAGTTCAAAAGACTGAATCTCTGATGGTATGTGGTATTGGTGCCTATGGATCTGACTGCTTGCACATCTGGAAAGGCAACATCAAGGTGAAATACAAAGCAACAAAACCTGTAGCTTTTTCAAAAAACAAAGAATATCTCAGCAAGACCATGCTAAACTGAATACTGCATCTATCAAAACAACATGACTTCATAGTAGACGAGTCCAGGTGCTGAATTGACTTTCCTGCAGTGCAGACCTTTCAAATGAAAACATTTGGCTCATCGTGAATGAACAATCAGACAAAGAAGGCTCTGGACTATGGAGCAACTAGACTCTTATATCAGAGAAGAACAGGGCAACACTCCTCTCCCAAAACTCCAGCAGCTGCTCTCTTCAACTGATGCTAAAAGAGGCGCTGCAGCACAGTGGTAAACTTGGAACATGCAGCTGCCATCAAATTCAAAATAAGCTTTTTTTTTCCTGAAAATGCTACATTTAATTGTCTTCTGTGTTGAATAAAAAAATGATTTATGAAATCTGCAAGTCTTTGCATTCTGCTCTTATTTACATTTTACACAAAAGTTTCAACTTTTACGGAATTAAAATTTTACTGTGCGTTCTGTCGTGTAATAAAATTCAGTGGTAAGTGGCTTAACAAACAGGAAATAATGGTCAGGTACAAGGACTGAACTGAAAATGAATGAAAAAGCAGCCAATGTCCAAAGACAATCTTTGAAAGCCTCTCAGAAAGCCTGGAGAACTATTGGCACCAACATATATATAATATACCACTCTAAAAGTCTGGCTTCTTGGAAATAAAATACAAAGAAATGAAGGTTAGAAGACTTTTGCACATTATTGTAAATATCCAAAGAAACACATAAGATGCGACCCGGTTGTAGTCAAAACCTTTATTTCAGTTTTTAACAATTAAAAATGACTTGGTGCTCTTGCACAGAGCTGTGCATCAAATTAACAGGACCATTTTTTAGTAAACAACAGCATTAAGGCGTTTACAGCATGAATCGGTTCATCCTGAAACTGTTTTAAGCACATATTCCCTTCATTTGCTATTTCCAATACAGTGCTGCCCTGATGATTTCAAGCAGGCCTTCTGTGTATAATTTACATCATATTTTGTATAGAAGTCAAAATTCAGCGTGCCGTAAAGTATATGTGGAAAGAGGAAGCTAACTGCCTGAAGTACACTTGGAGGTATTCACTGCTAACAGTTATTCTAGAGGTAAAGTAGATTTATGAAAAATAATTATTATTCAGTGCTAAAAATCGACATCTTTATTCAAAAATAAATATACATTTAAGTTTTCTTGGAAAACTGGTCACCAGTTTATTAAATCCTGCCTCAGCTGGAACAGCAGATTAGCTTGTTCTGTTGTACTGCAGAAATTCAAGCACGACTCTGCAGCAGCTGCACTGTCATGTGAGAGCAAACTAAAGCACACAAAACAGCGTCACTACAGCTATTAGCAGCATGTGAGTAACGGGTTATACACACACACACACGAAAATGCTTTATTAATATTCTAAAAAATAATACTATTACGATCTAGGTACTAACATGCCCCTTTAGATTCGAAGTGCTTAAAATGTTCAGCATCTACATCCATCCATCCTCCATCTACATCTTTAAATGCTCAGCAGGTTCCCTCAGAAAACTTGTATACGAGGTCTGTTTGAGAAGATTCGGCGTCAGTAGGTGCATGGAAGAGACGACAGGGTCTCCAGAGGGCTGTGATAGGAAGCAAGTTCAACATATCAAGGCTCTGTTTCAGTTAGCTAGCTTAAAAACCATAGCTTTCTGCTATCCTATTAATGTTGCTTCATAGTCCATGACCACACTGAACCACAGTTACCCATAATTCAGCACCTGAAAGCTGTCTATCAAATTAATTCAAACAGGTTTTGGTTTCTCTATTGCAACACAAAGTTCACCTACACACTGGATGGACAGTTGGTACCAAATTATGTTTGAAAAACAGACTGACTGCTTGAAAACAATGTGTCAGGGTCTATTTACTCGACTGTCAATCACAGTTAATCGTTGTGCCTAGTTTGTTCCTCCTCATCCTCACTCTGAAGAAGACAATAAGCAGGAAAATGTCTCTTTAAAGCATGTGGCGACTTCACACATGCCTCATCTTTACAGAGTGTGTGTGGCACATGATGTTGTTTGATAACAAGCCAATTCACTCCCACTTTAGACATGTCAAACATTTAGCTGCCTTTTCTCAAGAAGGAACTGTGAACTTGGACACAACTGTAAGCTGCTGGAAAAGCTTAACCAGCAGCAAGAACTCACAGCAGCACCGTGTGAGAAGAAGACCATATGTAACCTGCATGTGCAAACGGCCATGCTGCCTTAATTTACAGGTGCAATTATTCTGCTGGCAAAAAAAGCAAACAGTAAAATTCAACACGCCATGGATGACTGCCCCACTGCCTGTCCAGTCCTCATATGTTTGGGATCATTCACTTGGTTGGTGTCTGCTGCTGCCCCATCAGAGTCCTTTACAGAGGCGATTGTGGGTGGGATTAGGCTGTCCAGTTCCTGCCTGTGACCCGTTTCCAGAAGCCACTCATGAAACTTCATTTCCACCAATTCCTGGAACTGTTGCTTCTGCTCCCTGGAAAGACAGAGAACGTAAAAGAAAGTTGCATTTAAACGGCATACCGGTAATATTGAAAATAACAGAGCTTAACAAAAAAAGTCTTTCTGAAATGAAGGAGAGAAAATTCTTAGCATCATTCACCTTATTTCCTACATTTATGCTCCAGCAACAATATGCGTATGTTTAATTTTCTGTTTCTTAACCTGGTACTTTAATAGCTCGTATATAGTAGTAGCAATGTCAATGTTGTCAATGGAGACAGTGTACAGAGTATGTGATCAATGGGTCTGTGGGCCACTCTTACTTGTGGTCATGTGGGCCTGCCAACCAGCCGCAGACAAGAGCGAAGTTCTAACATACAAAGAGCTGAAGTGAAACTGAGCATTAAAACCAATGAAGCGTCCACTATAGCCACCATCTGTGCTCTTCTTCTTTTTAATAAAGGTCTTCTAATTTTCACTCCTCCATAGTCCTCTACCTGCCTGCATGCTCAGCACTCCAGATGATTGGATATCATATTCCTGTTTTGGAGTTAAAACAAAGACTAGCCTCTGTAGGAGGCATTAGTTTGTCTATATAAATTTGTAGCAGTTTTTCAAGCTGAAAACTTTCTGATTTTTCAGATTTTCTTGTGAGCACAAATTGTAACCCAGTTCAGAAAGAGTGGATCACAATCTAATGCTTCCAAACATGAATCCTCACATGAACCTCACAGCACCTTCAGTGTTGTACATCATAGTTAGAGTCATAGTATCCAATCACAACATTCAAAGCAGAATGAAGACTTTCCAATAAGACTATCTTTGAAACGACTGTTTAACTAACGTTCCTCCATTGGTCTCTGACCAGTACATGGATACTATATAAAATCGAATGTTTTGAAACAAGTCCAAAACTCTTGCCTTGTCTCTTGTCTGACAGACAATTTAGATGTCACATCACTGACCAATCGAGTGGTTCCACTGCCAAAACTTTTGGTATGCAGATATACAATCGTGTTCCTGCCAGTTTAACATTAAATACGTGTATTTCCTTTAAAAGATGAACATCTATTTATGAATGTAAAGAGCCAGTGGAGAACTGCCTCGTGCAACCCGTCTGACATCAGTGTGCTCACTGAACTGCATATCTCTCACACATAGCAGTTAACTGACATTCATATTGAGTTTTTGGAATCCCTTTGCTGTTACAATTTTCCACTGATTAAAAGGCACGCTACATAATGAAACACTAAAACTTACTTGAACACATGTATAGGTGGCTGAACCACTGCTTAATAAAGGTTTGGGGGTCAATTTCTCACTCACTTGCTCAGCCGGGCCTCTATCACAGTCTTCTGCCAGTTCTGTATTCTCCTCTTCTTTTCGTCCAGAGCTGCCTGGTATGAAGGAGGCAGACCACCGGGCACCTCACATGTGTCTCCCTCCATCTGAAAAGGCACGACCAGCGTGTGGAACTCTGATGGTGGCAGCAAGCGGTAGCAGGAGGGGTCTGGGCTGGACAACGTATTGAGTGAGTGGCTGGCAAGGCCCTCGGTCACCAGAAGTAAGGGCTGATCCCAGAGATTAGGAACAACCGCCAGCCCTACGCTGGCCATGTGATCCTCCAAGGAAGGGTAGAAAGTGTGGAAAGGACCCAGAGTAATGTCCGTGTTTCCCGGCAGTAGCAACGGGCGTGTGGGCGTAAGGGCATGGATGGTGCAACGTGAGGAAGTTCCAATAACAATTCGGCCGGCCATGCACACCACCCACACATTCTGGCAGCTGTGGATGTGGACGCTGGTCTCAACGGGACCCAGAACCACAGTGCTGTCACGGCATTTGTCCACACTGACTGATCTAAAGGAACAAATTCCACAACAGAAAGAACATAAACTGTACAGATACAGCCACTGAAAACTGCCGCTTTCAGCCAGAGATCAGCCAACTGACAGTCAGCCTAGGAACGGGAATCGAGAACCAGTTCTTGTAGAATACCAGTTCCCAGTAGGGCAATTCCTTCTAATCATTAGTCTGCCTGCCTATCAATTCCACGTATGGTGCTTGCACTCTTGGCCTGTATGCTAAAGATAACCCAACTTCTATTACTAGAAGGCAACCTTACCTGAGAGGTGAGAGAAGGTATATGAAGGCATCAGCACATCTATGGATTTTAATGTTGGCACCAGTCAGCTTGTCTGAAGTTTTAGCCAGGGTCTGTTTTAAGACTTGGGACATCAGCACCATTTTACTACCAGGTGGTGCCATGTGGGTGTTCCTGGCTATCTTGGCTCTCTTCATGGCCCCTTCCACTAGAACACACAAACACACATGGGCGGTCAAAAAAAGGCACAAAGTGAAGACCGTGAGGAAGGACTAATGCCAGATGATTTTACTAAACCTTGCTGAGCCCAAGCGAGCTTCTTGCCCGAATGGAGACAGGCAGTTATTCCAAAGGGATTCAGAGTGAGGCTGCGCTGGAGGCAGGAGAGGAGATTGTGCAGAGGGAAGGAACGGGTGAGCGAGGAGTAGCCAGCTTGTGTTTCGAGTGGACCTTTGGTCAGCAGCCGGTGAATGGGCTGAACAGCTTTTCCTTGGCAAACTGAGCCCTCCAGAAGCAGACCCAAGCTCCGCACAGCGTCCAGGGATACCTGATAGAACATAACTGAGAAATCAGTTACAGTATGGACTTGTTTTTATATTTCAAATAGTATAGATTAATACAAGAGAAATTCTCTAATCAAAAATTTTAACATAATGAGTTTACTTTAACAGCTACAATTTGCTGTTAATGTTTTATTTACACTAGTGAAAGAAAAAATGTACAGCCATAAATCTAACTCATCTATCAATTAAGATGGAAAGTCAGAAACGCCAGACTGACCACCTCTGTAAATGCAGAGGTTCTGACAGTTTTCTGCTCTGGGGCATTCAGGTGTGTGTTATTACAATGTGAAGGAGGAACAACACCAGCACTGATCTTAGAGAAGCACTTGTTGCTGTCTATGAAGTCGGGAAGGGGGTTAGGCTATTTATTATCATTCTGCAGAAAGATGTTAAATGTTAAAGTTGGTAACAATACAGTTAGAAAAAGAATGGGAGGACTGTTAGGAAAAAGCCTCGTCTCTGCAAAAAACACTTTACAGTCACTGAGTCAACATCAGCTCCTCTGTATACCAAAGTATTCAAACGGCAGCAAACAGCTGGATGGCTGAAAAGGAAAAGAATCAAAGTGGGGTTTTTAAATCCAGACCTTAACCTGACTGAAATGCTATTGGAGGACCTTACGAGAACTTTTGTGAATTAATGTAAACCTCAATAACCTGAAGCAACGTTGTACAGCTCCACAGTTTATCATCTACCTGAAACAAACTATTTTAGGTCTTCTCCCTTCCAGCCAACTTTCTTCTAATTGGCTGCCCTTCATGCACAGTGGGTTTGAGCAGAAGGTGGGTAGCGCTCGATGCTCACAGTGAGTGGTATGCCTGTTGCAGAATTTTATCTTCTGCATTAACTGAACTGTTCTGAAATCTTATGCTGTAATGCATGCAGTAACCTGATGTGAAACTACACAGACATGTTCACATCACATTGACGCAGCCAGCAATGTCTATGTCTGATGCTTTAGACACTGCCATTTCTTTTTACACATTTACAGCTACTTCCTCTTCTGATACCAGTTTTCAAATTGGCTGCAAAAGAACAGATCAACTCAAAGAAGAACGCCATCGCTAACTAGTGTTTCGGCAAAGAGATGCAGAGCAACATGGGCACACCAGCACAAGCAGAAATGTTGGCAACAACATTTGACTATCATGTAGGCTCTGCACAGATTCAGTGCAGAGGTAGAAATCAAGCTTCAGAATACAACATTAGAGATAATTACTCTCAGAGACAAGATAAAGATGCAAGAGAGGCAACAACTACCTGAAATAGACTGATTAGCTCACAGGGATTGCTTCTACATATATGTCTATAAGAATATATTTAAGAAGATATATTAAATATACTGGTATCTTAAATACTCTGGCTAGCACCAAATATTGTTAAAAATATCTAGATTGTGTCTGTGACCTAACGCAGGATGTGTGCTTGCTCTTCCCAGACCTGGCAGTCTCTTAGGGCCTGTCCAGATTGCGACAGTTGACCAGGCTCCACTAGCAGCTCCAAAATCTCTGCCAGATGGCTTTGCACGAAGGACAGGTGAGCCTGATCATCCCAATTCTGCAGAACCAAAACAGGAACAAAACAGGACTATAAGTGGTTAACTTCATATACACCACCATACAATAATTTGCACCAGATCTAATTAGAACTACACAATACTATAAATCCTGCTGCATTGTTGGTCATTCTGTTTTATGTTTCATGGCAAAGAGAACCTTGTTCTGATAGCTAGTCTTGGACTCTCTGTCTGATGGAGACGGGGAGCGAGTGCGATGGCTGGGCCACTCTTCCCCAATCAGAGAGGTGCGCAGAGACACGCGGTTCAGCTGCTGAATGTAGAGGAAAAGGAGAAACTGCAGAGTGTCCACAGACAACTGGTGCACAAAGGAAAGGGAAAAAAACCACAGGTTACCTATCAATATGCAGCCGCTCTTCCTTCAAATCTGACGGCAAGGTTACAATACTATCAGTCCTTGGAATAAATATTTAAACTTTATTTAACCTTGTTCCTCTGCTGGTCCAGCTCACTTTTAGTAGAACACTGGGAAAGACACTCAGCCCACTCCAGCCTCTCCTCTGGTGTATGACCTATCAGAAGGTCATAGGTCTCAAAGTAGAGCCACGCAAGGTCTTCTGGAAGCTGCAACTTTCCACAGGCGATATGCCTCCACATGGGCCAGCTCAGGATGGGGAAGCAGCCATTCCTTGTTCGCACATAGATAGCCATCTTTCGAAGATAGTGTAGGTTTAGCTTGGAGGACGGTGCCACCTACAACGATAGTAATTCATGCTATTTACAAGATTTACAGCTATTGGCTGATATCATAGTGGAAGTATATTTACCTGTAGGGCACCAAGTAGGAACGGTTCCATGCGTGGCCATATGCTCACACCGTTTGCCTCCATGTCTGAAGAGTTAGAGTACAAAACCATGTGACATACACCGATAATTAATTACTTGAGTATTTGACACCGTATAAGTACAATGCACTTTTAAATCAAAATGACAGAGCCATTACTGGATTATGATTATTAGTCACGAACCAGGGAAGGAGCTGGGGAGCACTAGCAGTTAAACTGGTCAAACTGGACAGTTACAATAACATAATGCTTTGTTATTTCGCACAGACTCAACCTCTGTCCACACTGTTTAGTTCACCATGTCACTCATACTCCAGCCACTTACTTGTGTCAAGCCAGCCTCCAATTCGAGACTTGCAGTCAAGCCAGCCTCCAGTTGATTTTACGTTCCCTGTGTATTCAAAGTATTACGGGAATGGATGTGGAAACCGGATTTCAAAATAAAAGCCAACTTCGAGTGAATTAACAGATATGTTAAGAACATAATAACATATAATTTAGGCTTTTTTTTTTTTTTTTAGAAACTCTAATGTTACATCTACATGACACAGCCTTGTACCCTAATTGTGCCCTGTCACTATCAAGGCCATCTTATTTTGGATTTCAAAGTAAAAGCCCTGTGAATCTTCATTTTTGAACTACTCTTTCAATGAATTCATAATGCTCTTAAAAGCAAAAGTCGTATTTCCAAATACTATTTGAACTTTGTATCAACACTTTCCAACCGCAGTCTTTTTCACAGTAATACCATATCAAATAAATTCTTTCTGATTTTGCTTTTCATAGTAATGGCCCTTTGAAATTGCCGATATTTGACTTAATCTCCTAACGATTCAAAATGCTCTAAAATGAAAATTCTTGTTTCCACAGGGTAATTCCACTTTAGATCAACAGTATACAACCCGCAGTGATACCATATCAATATCAAGTCATTCTGATTTTGCCTTCCAAAGTAAAAGCCTTTTCAAATTGTCCATAATTGACCTACCTTTCAGTGATTTCAAAATGCTCTAAAATGGAAAATTCCTGTTTCCACAGGGTAATTCCACCTTAGATCAACAGTATACAACCTCACGATGTTACCATATCAATATCAAGACATTCTGATTTTGCTTTCAAAATAAAAGCCCTTTCAAATTGTCCATAATTGACCTAACTTTCAGTGATTTCAAAATGCTCTAAAATGGAAAATTCCTGTTTCCACAGGGTAATTCCACTTTAGATCAACAGTATACAACCTCACAGTGATACCATATCAATATCAAGTCATTCTGATTTTGCTTTCAAAAATAAAAGCCTTTTCAAATTGTCCATAATTGACCTAACTTTCAGTGATTTCAAAATGCTCTTAAATAGAATTTTGCTGTTTCCACAGGGTAATTCCACTTTAGATCAACAGTATACAACCCCACAGTGATACCATATCAATATCAAGTCATTCTGATTTGTTTTCAAAAATAAAAGCCCTTTCAAATTGTCCACAATTGACCTAACTTTCAGTGATTTCAAAATGCTCTAAAATGGAAAATTCCTGTTTCCACAGGGTAATTCCACTTTAGATCAACAGTATACAACCTCACGATGTTACCATATCAATATCAAGTCATTCTGATTTTGTTTTCAAAAATAAAAGCCCTTTCAAATTGTCCACAATTGACCTAACTTTCAGTGATTTCAAAATGCTCTAAAATGGAAAATTCCTGTTTCCACAGGATAATTCCACTCTGTATTTACAGTATACAGCCCCACAGTGATACCATATCAATATCAAGTCATTCTGATTTTGCTTTCAAAAATAAAAGCCTTTTCAAATTGTCCATAATTGACCTAACTTTCAGTGATTTCAAAATGCTCTTAAATAGAATTTTGCTGTTTCCACAGGGTAATTCCACTTTAGATCAACAGTATACAACCTCACAGTAATACCATATCAATATCAAGTCATTCTGATTTTGCTTTCAAAAATAAAAGCCTTTTCAAATTGTCCATAATTGACCTAACTTTCAGTGATTTCAAAATGCTCTTAAATAGAATTTTGCTGTTTCCACAGGGTAATTCCACTTTAGATCAACAGTATACAACCCCACAGTGATACCATATCAATATCAAGTCATTCTGATTTTGTTTTCAAAAATAAAAGCCCTTTCAAATTGTTCACAATTGACCTAACTTTCAGTGATTTCAAAATGCTCTAAAATGGAAAATTCCTGTTTCCACAGGATAATTCCACTCTGTATTTACAGTATACAGCCCCACAGTGATACCATATCAATATCAAGTCATTCTGATTTTGCTTTCAAAAATAAAAGCCTTTTCAAATTGTCCATAATTGACCTAACTTTCAGTGATTTCAAAATGCTCTTAAATAGAATTTTGCTGTTTCCACAGGGTAATTCCACTTTAGATCAACAGTATACAACCCCACAGTGATACCATATCAATGTCAAGTCATTCTGATTTTGTTTTCAAAATAAAAGCCCTTTCAAATTGTCCACAATTGACCTAACTTTCAGTGATTTCAAAATGCTCTTAAATAGAATTTTGCTGTTTCCACAGAATAATTTCACTTTAAATCAACAGTATACAACCCACAGAGATACGATGTTAAGATCAAGTCACTCTGATTTTGCCTTCCAAAATAAAAGTATTTTCAAATTGCCCATAGACGACCTACTCGTTTAACGATTTCAAAATGCTCTTAAATTGAAAGATGCTGTTTCCACAGGATAATTCCACTTTAGATCAACAGTATCCAACCCGACAGTAAAACCATGTAAATTTTATGTTGGTCTGATTTCGCCTTTCAAATTAATGGCCCGTCGAATTTGTCCATATGTGATATACTCTTTCAATTATTTCAGAATGTTTTAAAAATGAAAATTGCTGTTTCAACACATATTGGGTTTTCATTTTGAAAAGCAAAATCAGACTCAGTTGATTATGACAGAATTGAATCATAAAGATGATGTAAAAGGAAGCTGAAATTGCCACTAGGTTGTAATTGATAGTACGTTTATATTTTAAGTCTGTGGAAAGATGTCATTCTAAATAAAGAAATTACAAAACAGCTTGCAAACCAACCATGACATCTTTCCACAGACTTAAATATAAACGTACTATCAATTACAACCTAGTGGCAATTTCAGCTTCCTTTTACATCATCTTTATGATTCAATTCTGTCATAATCAATTGAGTCTGATTTTGCTTTTCAAAATGAAAACCAATATGTGTTGAAACAGCAATTTTCATTTTTAAAACATTCTGAAATAATTGAAAGAGTATATCACATATGGACAAATTCGACGGGCCATTAATTTGAAAGGCGAAATCAGACCAACATGAAATTTACATGGTTTTACTGTCGGGTTGGATACTGTTGATCTAAAGTGGAATTATCCTGTGGAAACAGCATCTTTCAATTTAAGAGCATTTTGAAATCGTTAAACGAGTAGGTCGTCTACGGGCAATTTGAAAATACTTTTATTTTGGAAGGCAAAATCAGAGTGACTTGATCTTAACATCGTATCTCTGTGGGGTTGTATACTGTTGATTTAAAGTGAAATTATTCTGTGGAAACAGAAAATTTCCTTTTTAGAGCATTCCGAAATCACTGAAAGTTAGGTAAGTTATTGGCATTTTCAACAGGCCATTATTTTGGAAGGAAAAATCAGAATGACTTGAAATTGAAGTAGTACCATGGTGTGGATGTACACTTTTGATCTAACATGGATTCATCCTGTGGAAAGAGCAAGTTTCATTTTTAGAGCGTTCTGAATTCTTTAAAAGAGTAGGTCGTATATCGGCAATTTGAAAGTCTTTTATTTTGGAAGGCAACATCAGACTGATTTGATATTGATATGGTATCACTGTGGGGTTGGATACTATTGATCTAAAGTGGAATTATGCTGTGGAAACAGCAATTTTCCATCTTAGAGCATTTTGAATTTGCTCCAGGATCAAGTCAGATATGGGCATTTTGAAAATGCTTTTGTTTTTGAAAGCAAAATCAGAATGACTTGATATTGATGTGGTAACATCGTCAGGTTGTATACTGTTGACCTAAAGTGAAATTATCCTGTGGAAACAGCAATTTTCACTTTTAGAGCATTTTGAAATCTTTAAAAGAGTAGGTCGTATCTTGGCAATTTGAAAAGTCTTTTATTTTGGAAGGCATAATCAGAATGACTTGATATTGATATGGTAACATCGTGAGGTTGTATACTGTTGACCTAAAGTGAAATTATCCTGTGGAAACAGCAAAATTCTTTTTAAGAACATTTTGAAATCGTTAAAAAAGTAGGTCGTATATATGCTCAATTTGAAAGGGCATTTATTTTGGAAGGCATAATCAGAATGACTTGATATTGATATGGTATCACTGTGGGGCTGTATACTGTTGATCTAAAGTGGAATTACCCTGTGGAAACAGGAATTTTCCATTTTAGAGCATTTTGAAATTGTTCCAGGATCAAGTCAGATATGGGCAGTTTGAAAATGCTTTTATTTTTGAAAGCAAAATCAGAATGACTTGAAATTGATATGGTAACATCGTGAGGTTGTATACTGTTGAACTAAAGTGAAATTATCCTGTGGAAACAGCAAAATTCTGTTTAAGAACATTTTGAAATCGTCAAAAAAGTAGGCCGTATATGTTCAATTTGAAAGGGCATTTATTTTGGAAGGCAAATCAGAATGACTTGATATTGATATGGTATCACTGTGAGGTTGTATACTATTGATCTAAAGTGGAATTACCCTGTGGAAACAAGAATTTTTCATTTTAGAGCATTTTGAAATCACAGAAAGTTAGGTCAATTGTGGACAATTTGAAAGGGCTTTTATTTTTGAAAGCAAAATCAGAATGACTTGATATTGATATGGTATCACTGTCAGGTTGTATACTGTTGATCTAAGGTGGAATTACCCTGTGGAAACAAGAATTTTTCATTTTAGAGCATTTTGAAATCACTGAAAGTTAGGTCAATTATGGACAATTTGAAAAGGCTTTTATTTTTGAAAGCAAAATCAGAATGACTTGATATTGATATGGTATCACTGTGGGGCTGTATACTGTAAATACAGAGTGGAATTATCCTGTGGAAACAGGAAATTTCACTTTTAGAGCATTTTGAAATCACTGAAAGTTAGGTCAATTGTGGACAATTTGAAAGGGCTTTTATTTTTGAAAACAAAATCAGAATGACTTGATATTGATATGGTATCACTGTGGGGTTGTATACTGTTGATCTAAGGTGGAATTACCCTGTGGAAACAAGAATTTTTCATTTTAGAGCATTTTGAATCGTTAGGAGATTAAGTCAAATATCCGCAATTTCAAAGGGCCATTACTATGAAAGGCAAAATCAGACTGACTTGATATTGAGGTATCACTGTGGGGCTGTATACTGTTGATCTAAAGTGGAATTACCCTGTGGAAACAGGAATTTTCCATTTTAGAGCATTTTGAAATCACTGACAGGTAGGTCAATTATGGACAATTTGAAAAGGCTTTTATTTTTGAAAACAAAATCAGAATGACTTGATATTGATATGGTATCACTGTGAGGTTGTATACTATTGATCTAAAGTGGAATTACCCTGTGGAAACAAGAATTTTTCATTTTAGAGCATTTTGAAATCACAGAAAGTTAGGTCAATTGTGGACAATTTGAAAAGGCTTTTATTTTTGAAAGCATAATCAGAATGACTTGATATTGATATGGTGTCACTGTGAGGTTGTATACTGTTGATCTAAGGTGGAATTACCCTGTGGAAACAAGAATTTTTCATTTTAGAGCATTTTGAAATCACTGAAAGTTAGGTCAATTATGGACAATTTGAAAAGGCTTTTATTTTTGAAAACAAAATCAGAATGACTTGATATTGATATGGTATCACTGTGGGGCTGTATACTGTAAATACAGAGTGGAATTATCCTGTGGAAACAGGAATTTTCCATTTTAGAGCATTTTGAAATCACTGAAAGTTAGGTCAATTATGGACAATTTGAAAGGGCTTTTATTTTTGAAAACAAAATCAGAATGACTTGATATTGATATGGTAACATCGTGAGGTTGTATACTGTTGATCTAAAGTGGAATTACCCTGTGGAAACAGGAATTTTCCATTTTAGAGCATTTTGAAATCACTGAAAGTTAGGTCAATTGTGGACAATTTGAAAGGGCTTTTATTTTTGAAAACAAAATCAGAATGACTTGATATTGATATGGTGTCACTGTGGGGTTGTATACTGTTGATCTAAAGTGGAATTACCCTGTGGAAACAGGAATTTTCCATTTTAGAGCATTTTGAAATCACTGACAGGTAGGTCAATTATGGACAATTTGAAAAGGCTTTTATTTTTGAAAACAAAATCAGAATGACTTGATATTGATATGGTATCACTGTGAGGTTGTATACTATTGATCTAAAGTGGAATTACCCTGTGGAAACAAGAATTTTTCATTTTAGAGCATTTTGAAATCACAGAAAGTTAGGTCAATTGTGGACAATTTGAAAGGGCTTTTATTTTTGAAAGCAAAATCAGAATGACTTGATATTGATATGGTATCACTGTGAGGTTGTATACTGTTGATCTAAGGTGGAATTACCCTGTGGAAACAAGAATTTTTCATTTTAGAGCATTTTTAATCGTTAGAAGATTAAGTCAAATATCGGCAATTTCAAAGGGCCATTACTATGAAAAGCAAAATCAGAATGACTTGATATTGATATGGTATCACCGTGGGGTTGTATACTGTTGATCTAAAGTGGAATTACCCTGTGGAAACAGCAAAATTCTATTTAAGAGCATTTTGAAATCACTGAAAGTTAGGTCAATTATGGACAATTTGAAAAGGCTTTTATTTTTGAAAGCAAAATCAGAATGACTTGATATTGATATGGTATCACCGTGGGGTTGTATACTGTTGATCTAAAGTGGAATTACCCTGTGGAAACAGGAATTTTCCATTTTAGAGCATTTTGAAATCACTGAAAGGTAGGTCAACTATGGACAATTTGAAAAGTCTTTTATTTTGGAAGGCATAATCAGAATGACTTGATATTGATATGGTATCACTGTGGGGTTGTATACTGTTGATCTAAGGTGGAATTATCCTGTGGAAACAAGAATTTTTCATTTTAGAGCATTTTGAAATCACTGAAAGTTAGGTCAATTATGGACAATTTGAAAGGGCTTTTATTTTTGAAAGCAAAATCAGAATGTCTTGATATTGATATGGGATCACTGTGAGGTTGTATACTGTTGATCTAAAGTGGAATTACCCTGTGGAAACAAGAATTTTTCATTTTAGAGCATTTTGAATCGTTAGAAGATTAAGTCAAATATCGGCAATTTCAAAGGGCCATTACTATGAAAAGCAAAATCAGAAAGAATTTATTTGATATGGTATTACTGTGAAAAGACTGCGGTTGGAAAGTGTTGATACAAAGTTCAAATAGTATTTGGAAATACGACTTTTGCTTTTAAGAGCATTATGAATTCATTGAAAGAGTAGTTCAAAAATGAAGATTCACAGGGCTTTTACTTTGAAATCCAAAATAAGATGGCCTTGACAGGGCACAATTAGGGTACAAGGCTGTGTCATGTAGATGTAACATTAGAGTTTCTAAAAAAAAAAAAAAAAAAAGCCTAAATTATATGTTATTATGTTCTTAACATATCTGTTAATTCACTCGAAGTTGGCTTTTATTTTGAAATCTGGTTTCCACATCCATTCCCGTAATACTTTGAAAACACAGGGAACGTAAAATCAACTGGAGGCTGGCTTGACTGCAAGTCTCGAATTGGAGGCTGGCTTGACACCAGTAGCCACTTTAACTCTGCACACACACAACTGTATATCAATTCAGATACAGCGCAGGATGTTCTGCTTTTACTCTTTTTTTTTTAAACTCATCGCATTTCATGAACCTTCTCTTTGTTGTTTTTTTTTAGTACAGCAACAACAGACCTAATCTTCAAAAATGACCGTTTAATTACAGGTTGAAAAATATCTTCCTGGCAACCAGGCTGCTCGTGCCATCAACACTAGGCATCTAATTTCAAGTTTGACAAGCTAATCAAAACTAAGCTAACATCAATCCAGTAACACAGTAAATATATGCACAAAACTCACTTGTTTTTGCTGTGGCACAACAAGAAATGAAGCCGAATACCAGGCGCACTGATATTTGCTCATAAAGTTAACTCCAACATAAAAAAGTAGGGCTGGCCAGCTTAGCTTAGCTCCAGTTAGCTAGCTGAGCTAGGACAGCTCTGGATCTTACTGTCAGACTTTGTGTCCTCGTCCTGTTACTGGGATCTTCGGCCTGAATGAGAAAAGGGCCGACAGGTCAAGGACTCATAGGTGGGTATACAGAGGAGGACGAGTGCAGTGGTTCCTGGTTTGTTGTCAGACGCACATCTGCCGTCCTTCCTATTTGGCGCCCTCCTCTCCACTCAGATCTCAGCAGACATCTGTTGCGCGCAGCTCCCGGGGGCGCGCTTCAGCCTGCACTATGAGCATGCATGGTGCCCGGGTTTTTTTATTCACCGAAATGTTCCGTTTTTTATTAGTTGTACTTATACATGTAACAAAAAACAAAAGCAAAAAACAAAAAACAAAACCCCCCAAACAAACCCAAAAAACATCGGCGCAAACAGTTATATATGACAAAAAAGGGCTGCTGAGAAAGGTGTGAGCTGTCTCTTTAACGCTGGGCAGAGTTTTTCGGGAGAGGATGATTTGCCGACATCCAGTGGGCGGGCTTTCTCTGACAGGAGGAAGAAGGCTTGTGGCTGACTGACTGGCAGCTGGGATCCGAGCTTTAAAAAGCCGGTTGTTCTTTGCTACCTCCTTGAGAAATCCTGACATCTATGGCTGCTAAAGGGATGAATCTGTGTAACGTGTGCTGTCTGCTTCTTTATGCTACTACGGCGGTGCTTGCCGGGTAAGTGGTGTTCGCTCGGACAGCGGCGAAACAGCATCGCCAGCTGGTACACATGTTTCACTGTGATTGGTCTAGACGTGCTCTCCATGCGTGGAACAGTCTGACACACAGAGCTAACTTGCTAATAAGTGCTTTCGTTGTCTTTTCCCCACTCAGTAAAAAGTGTATCCACCACTTGTAAGGGCCGTGTTTTAAGTGACTACCTAGCTTAGTTAGCTTGGAGCTAGCCATTACGACAGATGAAGCTGCTGCATACTGTCTATGGAAGCCACACTGGCTTACCCCCCCGGAGATTGTAGCTAACTCGGTGTTTTACAATCTAAAAGTAGCATCATTGCCATTTGATAACGGTTTCCCGTTTTTCTTCTACCTCTGTGCCTCCTGTGTCTGCCTCATTTGTGCCATCTTCCTCTCTCCTGTAGGCGAGATTTCTATAAAATCTTGGGGGTGAGCAAGAGTGCATCAATCAGGGACATCAAGAAGGCCTACAGAAAGCTGGCTTTGCAGTTACACCCCGACAGAAACCAAGACGACCCGCAAGCCCAGGACAAGTTCGCAGACTTGGGGGCAGCCTATGAGGTAGATGTGTAGCCATTGTTGTGTTCTTGATGCTAGTGATATCCGAGATGAGCAACAATGAAATTGTTTTTGAGTTAAAAGACTGTTATATTTTCATAGTATCAGCTGTGTTCGGGGACAGTGGCGCAGATTTAATCCTATGTGAGTATAAAAGCGCCCAAGACGCCGATACAACTGTTTTATAAGCCTGAAATTTGGTTGTTGTTGGTAAGATCTCTGCGATTGGACGATTAGACCGTGTGGCTGAATCTGATTGGCTGTCAGGCAGCACAGCTGGTGTATTGAAAATTCAGACGTGGATGAGTGGGAGTGGATTCGGATAAGCGCTGCAGGTGTTTCCGTGTCAAACGTTCACGTTTCTTTTAAAAACGGAAGGATGCCGCAGCGAGTTCACTGATTTGTAACACAAAACTGAAATTGGTTATTAATCGAGTTTCATTAGTCGAGGTGGGTCTATAAATGTATCTCTAAATGAATGACAATATAATAAAAATAATAGAAAATAATTGACAAGATCTACATAAATTCTTTTGAGTTTTTTTAATTTTTTAGTTTTTTTAGTTTTTTTTTATTGTTATTGTTGCTATTGAGGTACCTCAGGCACCAAAACGATAACAATCTCAACCATAAAGTTCAGTAGGTATTTGTTTAAAGAAATCTAAAGTGGTGGTACAATATATAACAAATAAAAATATTTCAAAACCAGAGTTTGAAATGGCTTACTAAATGTAGGAACAGCAACATATCCAACATTCTTTGGTAGTCTCTTCAGGTGCTCACCTTGAAGTTGAGAAAAGTTTAACTTGGGACCTCCCCACTTGGATTTTTTGCCTGTTGTTGCTGAATGAGGGAAGAGAGCTCTCTGTCACCTCAGTAAACACCTTCTTCGTTGGTTGAGGAGCTCACTTACTAGTTTCAAGTCCTGTTACAACATAATCCTCATGTTGTAAATTATGCTCACTGTTAGTCAAGAAGATTATTTCCCAGTACAGTCTGATCTGCCTCTCACTTATATCTAGTTTCAAAAAGGTTGACAAAAAGAAATGAGGTTCAGCTTGATGCTTAATGATGCGAGATAATCTTTTATCTATAGTCTGTGGTTGAAACAACGGGAGATAATGACAAACTGATTAGCAGTAGTAACAGCCGTAAAAGTTTTCTATGAATTTCCAAAATCTCATCTTCTAAGAATGGAGCCATTGCTGCTTTTCTCAGGTGAAGGCACTTCTAGAGCCACAATGTAATTGCTGGCTGTTCCTTCTAATGGGTCAACTGTTTGTATTCTCATATTTGAAAAAGTATATATTTTATACGTAAGCTTTAAGATAGTTTCAGTAGTAACAGTTCACTGACTTTTCATTTCATTCTTTAATGAATCAGTCAATTTCAAAAACTAACACAGCTTTCAAGAGCCCATCGACATTTTTTTTTGTGTGTTTTTTTTACATTGAATTATGACACTCACACGTTGTATCAGCGGAGAGAACAAAGACTGCGGCATGTGGCCATTGTGTGATTGACAGGTTGTCTGTTTGTAGGTCCTCTCAGATGAGGAGAAGAGGAAACAATATGACATGTATGGAGAGGACGGGCTCAAAGAGGGTCACCACAGCTCTCACAACGATATCTTCTCCAGGTTGGTTTCATGAGCTCAGCTGGATTTTATGCCAGGTTCAGCTAAATGCATGTATAATGTCCACTCATGCTACTGTTCCTCCCTCTGTAGCTTCTTTGGTGACTTTGGGTTCATGTTTGGTGGCAACCGACAGCAGCAGGACAGGAATATTCCCAGAGGAAATGACATAGTACTGGACCTGGAGGTTACACTGGAAGAAGTTTACTCTGGGAACTTTGTGGAGGTGTGGAGAAACTCCTGGTTTCCAAACGAACAGTCTTTACCGTCCTTTATTCACATTTCAAGTTTGTTCCACAAATAGGAGCTAGCTATAGTGTCACTTCATTCAGTCATCAAACTGCAAGGCTTATCGATGAATCGTCTAATTTACTACCTGTAGATTTTCATGTTATCAACACTTATTTTTCCCGCTGTATGCAGGTTGTACGTAACAAGCCTGTAGCTAAAGAAGCTCCTGGTAAAAGGAAGTGTAATTGCAGACAGGAAATGAGGACGACCCAGCTTGGACCTGGACGTTTCCAGATGACTCAGGAAATGGTGTGCGATGAGTGTCCCAATGTGAAGTAAGTCAGCTCCTGTTGTCATCATTAAATGGGGCCTATTATGCTTTTCCTTATTTTCTATGCTACATGGCTGTGACATCATAGAAAATGTCCCTAATGTGGTCATCTCAGGCACACAGCTCTGGTGCAGAAGCCCCACCCACCTGCTGTTTGTGAGGCATTATGAGGAATATGTTGAACTCTCAATCAAACAAAGCAACTCTGCTGCACCAGTAAAACAAATGGACTGATATTGAGCAACACAAGTCCACAGTACAGATGTTACTACTCAATTTTATAAATGATAACCCCATTTTGGACACCAATGAAAATGAGATGAAGCATCTGAAGTCGTAAATTTGAATGTCTCTAACCCAAGTTTGGACTTGGCCACCGATTGTACAGCTACAGGGTTTGAATCTGCGATGCTTCCATTTTAATTTTTGATAACTGCTTCAGGTTGTATGTTGGTCTAGCTCTCTCAGAATGACATTGATCTGTTGCTGCAGATGTCAGGTGTGTTTATTACATGTATCAAAGTCAGTACTGATTTTTAGATCATGTATTGCTTCTCGTTTCAATCACTTCTGATTCTTATTTCCTGATGTGCGAAGTTTCTGGCAGAGTTGATCTTCTTTCTCCATCAGGGTGTGTTTTAGTTGCCAAGACCTTATGATTGGATTTGAAATGAACCCGAGAATACAGATCCAGATCTCAAGATAGACGATCAAGCTACATTATTACACTGTTACCAACAAAACCTGTTAATGTGATGTAAACAAATATGCCACCCACCCATCCATTTTCTTCCATGTATCCGTGACTGGGTTGTGGGGGCAGGAGTCTAGGCAGAGAACCCTGGACCTTCCTCTCCCTAGCCAACTGCTCCTGCTTATCCAGGGGAGCTTCAGCATGTCCTCCTCCCCATGGGCATGCCCAAACCACCTCAACTTGCACCTTTCGATGTGGAGGTGTAGCAGCTCTGCTCTTAGCCCCTCTTCAATTATTGGCTTTCTCACACTCTAAGGCAGCGGTTCCCAACCTTTTTTGCGCCACGGACCGGCCTTTAAGGTGTCACGGATAAATACAACAAAATAAAACCAGTACCAAAAAAAAAGATTTATTCATAACACACGGGAAGAGACCCAGGGACACCGAATTAACGATAAAAAATGATAAAAAAAATAATGCTAAAAACTGTGAATTTCACACCCGAGCCTCTACTCTCGCGGTCTAGTACCAAACGACTCACAGCGGTTCCCAGCGGTTGGGGACCGCTGCTCTAAGGGACAGGCCAGATGATCTTTGGAAAGCTCATTTCTGCCACTTGTGTCTTGTTCTTTCAATCACTGCTAAGTTTATGACCATAGGCGAGGGTAGGCACGTAGATCAACTAGTAAACTGATCTTTGCTTTTACACTCGGCTCTCCCTTCACCATGATAGACTGGTACAGCGTCCACATGACTGCATTCCACTAGAACAAGTTCTGAGTCACAAAGTTCAACAGCAGACTGAAAGAAATGGGGGGGATGCTTATGGGATATTTTGAAAAACACATCAGGAATCCTAGATTTCAGCTTAACGTACTTAATAAATTGACCAATAAATTGTATTAACAAATACATCCTCTGATGTTATCTTATCTGCAGGCTGGTGAATGAAGAGAGGACCTTAGAGGTAGAGATCGAGCAAGGGGTGAGAGATGAGATGGAGTACCCTTTTATTGGAGAAGGTAACTGCTTTGTAAATCTTAATTTGTTAGCTTTTTGTCACTCCCTGTTTCTAACATTTTACTCTGACCACAGGGGAACCTCACATCGATGGAGAGCCTGGAGACCTTCGATTTCGCATCAAAGTGTTGAAGTATGAACAGATTTCTGTGTGAGAGAGAGAGAGAGAGGCGTGCACCAATTAGAATAT